ACTCCGAAGGCGTTATTAGACTCCAGGGACATCAATAATATGTTTTTAAAAAGAATATTAGCGTTACAGTATATGACTAACTATATCAGCTGTTGCTGTCGAAGTAAAATATTATTGCAGCTTTCGGCAGAATATTTAGGTTATACTTGCTGTTGGTGGCCTACCACTGTCGTGTTGAACGATGACGTTAGCATGGTTCATTATGGCAACGACGTGCGGCTGTAAGATTTCACCACATGGATTTTGTATCGAGATTGGAATTTTATTTTTTTCAGTTACGGCTTCAAAACCAGATTTATGTTTATTTAAAAATACAAGCCTCAATTTTTCAAAGCAAAAAAACATCTTGCAGCAATCGTATGTTTGTGGCAGGTATTTTATTTCTTTGTCAACAGCCTGAAGCATAATTAATGTTTTCAATAAGTTTCGGGAACAAAATATTTTTTTCGGTAAATTCCAAGGACCCCCAGAATATTAAATGTTCGGCCCCTAACTCTTGCTCCCGTTTTGTTGAACCAGCGACATAATTATTTGGCCACCATTTTAATTCTGAAAATCTGAATAACAGAAACAAACCCTGCTCCTGCGAGCGTGATAAAGATGGAATATTGCTGAGTGCGGCGTTAAAAAAACAAAACAAAACATCTTTTCAGCTCGATGCAGCATAAATCTTGACTCTTGAAGAGGTTCTCCATCGAAGAATATCTTAACAGACTGAGCAACCGAAGCATTCGTCAACACTCGCGTGTTTCCGAAACCAACAACATGCAAGCATTCCATTTGCGACCAACTCGTCCCATTCCGGGACAAGCCGAATGTAGATTCCATTCCATTTGTCACCACTCGCCCCTTACCGTAACCTGCAAGAAGATTGGTCCCCCCTATCGATGAATGTTATGTGCGAAAATAATTTTTGATTTTACATATGTCTTGCATCTAAAAATATACCCAAGACACAGTTAAATCATACTGAATAATTCCGCACGTCCCAATGTGCTTTAAATTGCATTTGGAATATATATAATACATGGGGAAATAATATGTGAACCATTACGCAACGAGTTGTTGTAAAAGCATTAAACATCACTGCTTTATATTGTTTCTTTTGTACAAAAGAACATTTGGCAAGCCATTCAAGTAATTCATTCTCAGCTATCCATATTTTATTTGCAAACTATTTTTAAAAAATAAGATATTAAAACGGACAAGACGAAGGATTTAAGTAATTTCTACAGTGAATTTCTTATGCATATTCAGTTAAGTGTTGCAAATTTGACATTGTCTTTTCAATTTTTGAAACGACATTTTTTTATGACTCATTTATTTCATGACTTGATCTGTACTTTGATCGACAGCGTTACAAGATAGTACACACATTTCACATTAACGTTATGAAGGACTGCCATGCATATCCACCATGTCTAGAGACGTAAAGTAATATTTCTAAACATATACCAACGGCGTCGGGAGGCCATGTTAATACTCAAACCCTGTTGGGAGTCCAAGTAACCAATGCTTGTCGTATGAGTGAGTGAGTGAGTATGGTTTTACGCCGATTTTAGCAATATTCCAGCAATATCGCGGCGGGGGACACCAGAAATGGGTTTCACACATTGTACCCATGTCGGGAATCGAACCCGGGTCTTCGGCGTGACGAGCGAACGCTTTAACCACTAGGCTACCCGACCGCCCCTGTCGTATGAGAGGCTAGACGCCTTATTGGATGGGGTGGTCAGACCCGGGAACTTATATTGGTTGATTGGTACCATCTAACCTTGACGGGGTGGATCGTTGCTTGCAAGGTCAACTACTGGGTAGCCTGGTCAAGTCATCAAACAAGCTTTAATATTCGAAACTCGGTTCTAATTTAAGGTGTTAAGAAAAAAGTTACAATTACAATTTTTTCAACTAATGTAAAGACATGTAGCTGAGTACTACCTATCAATTCTGATCTTTTTAAGATAGCTTCCTTTTGAGCGAGTTATTTATTTTTTACAAATGTCGAAATAATTCGTTCGAATCTTATATATCATTGCGTTTTATGATTTGTGGTATATCAACCATCACATAGTTGCGAATGTTTATTGAGGAATCGATTTTTTTAGCAACCTGTATGCCAATTATCTCTGATTAATCACCACTGCCCTAATTTTGATATTAATAATCCATTCACCCAAATCCACCTTTTAATATTCTATTAAAGTAAAGTTAAACATAATTTCCATAAAGCACAAGTTAATTGAAGTGGGTTGTCTCTTAATATGTCAGTGTTAGTTGGTATACATTAAATTTATGACAAAATCATATTTATAGATATATACTCTTCAAAAAAAAGAAACTTGACGCTGACCTTCAAAATGTAATATAATGCGATTGTTTCAAAATAGGACACAGAAACCATAATTGAAACCCTGTTTGAAGATCAATGTATACAATGTTCAAAACATTAATCGTGTCAGCTAGACAGACACACGTACACGATACAGTTAATGTCACAGGGGTACAGAAAATGTCAGTATCGGTTGTGCCCACCACGTGCATCTATCACCGCGGGTTGACGACCCATAGATGCAATCAAGTTGTCAATAACACGCTGTTGGATGTGCTGCCATTCATGCTGAAGCGCCGGAAGTGTTTGGGCGGTGGATTCCTTCTGCGAACGCGTCGATCCAACTCGTCCCACAGATGCTCAATCGGGGACAAATCTGGTGACGTGGCTGACCAAGGTAATGTCTGGATGTTGTTGTGCTGTAAGAAGTCCTGACACACACGTGCAATATGCGGTCGAGCGTTGTCCTGCTGGAACTGTCCGCCATGAACGTTGACGTGAGGAAGAACGTAAGGCTGTAGGATCAAGTCTCTGTAACGCACACCTGTCAATGCACCTGCCACATGCACGAGAGGCGTCCTACCACCGTGATGAATTCCGGCCCATATATACCATGATACTCCCGACGCCAAATGGGACAACCTGCTGCACACAGTTGGGGGCGTAACGTTCACCCCGTAGACACGTGCGCGCCCATCAGCACGTGTGAGTAGGAAACGGGACTCGTCAGTAAACAGTACATTTCTCCACCTTGCACTTGCCCATCTAACCCTCTGTTGGCACCAAAGCAGACGGTCCGCCAGATGATGTGGGGTCAATACATGACGTCGAACAGGTCTTCGTGCAAAAAGTCCAGCCTCCCTCAGTCTGTTGCGTACCGTTTGATCTGATATTCTGCGTACCCCAGGGATCTGTGTGGTTGTAGACGTGGCTGTGGTAGTGCGGTCTCGGAGGTGTCGCAGCCGGATGTATCGATCTTGTGCTTGGGTTGTCACCCTTGGTCTGTCGTCAACTCTGTTGGTGTTTTTGTATCGGGTCCACAGTGCGGAGATTGTCTGTCTGGATACGCCAAAGTGCCTGGCCACTTCTTGCTGAGTTGCCCCAGCTTGTAATCTCCCAATGGCGTTGTTCCGTTGAGCTGCATTCAGTCTTGGCATTCTGTCACCGCCTCTACTGCCGTTATAAGGACTGTATGAACAGCCGTTGATGTGGATTTTTATACCCATTCAGCAGGGGGGCCTGCATGCCTAAATGCAGGATCCTGTGCTGCACGTTTTTTACAGGCGGTTGCGTTTGGATGAAGCTGTAAAATTGATCCACAAACGCTACGTTTATGTGCTTTGCATGTGTTTTCGCGAATTATAGACACATCATCTCTCTGTTTGACTTATTTGGTTCTCATTTAATGTAATTATTTTAGATATTTGGCAAAATGTGGTTTTACATCCAAGTCAAGTTTCTTTTTTTGAAGAGTATATAATAAAAGCTGTCACCCGGGCTAGAATAGGTCTTCATCAACCCATGCATGTTTTCCATAAAAGGTGACTCCTTGTCGCAAGAGGCGACTAACGCGATCGGTGGTGAAGCTCGTTGACTTGGTTGATGCACGTCATCGTATCCAAATGCGTGGATCGATGCTCCTGATGTCTGTCACTTGATAGTCAGGTCAACAACAAAGAAACGTGTCTGAACTCGCCTAAACTGACACAGACTTTAATTGTGCACTTTTGACATGGTCCATGAATACCATAGAAAATATGAATGATTTTAGCAAATTCAACCATCTCTATAGTTAAATGCATGTCTACTTTACAAATTCTAACATTTCAGTACGACATAAATTTTATTAATCGGTATGAAAGTTGCTTTTGGTTTTTATGTTTTTATTAGAGCATTAGCTATCTTGGTATTAGCTATTAAAAGCAAATTTGTAAATATCACCAATGAGAGTTCGTGGGCAGTGGGCTAGCCTAGTGGTTAAAGCGTTCGCTCGTCACGCCGAAGACCCAGGTTCGATTCCACAAAAGGGTACAATGTGTGAAGCCAATTTCTGGTATCCCTGCCGTGATATTGCTGGAATATTGCTAAAAGCGGAGTAAAACTATACTCACTCACTCAACAGAAGGAACTACGAGTCCGTGTGCATATGTCTGCCAGTCGTCCCAACATCGAACTGTTTAATTGTGGTGAAAGGTTTTGCTAAATTGAAGTACAAAGCGTGTGGTTGGGATGTGAATTTCGATTTCGTTATATCTGCAAGTTGGCCTGCTCGTTTCTAATTCCCATGCAGTCCAACATGAGCCGGAATCTGTACAATATGGGGGGAAAAACGGGTGTTTGATCGTAAAGATGTGTAAGTTTCCCTAAGACCGAGAACGGGTGTTTGATTGTAAAGATGTGTAAATTTCGCTAAGACCGAAAACGGGTGTTGGATCGTGAAGCGAGAGTCACCAGAGCGTGAGGCACGGTAACGGTATAACGAGACAGCGGTGGCACTATAGCGCGGTAATTGAGCGGATGGTAGAGCTCGGGCTGCGCCCGGTAAACTGCATTGTTGCCAAGTCCGGTGCCAATCCTCAGTTTCTGTTCACTCCTCCAGCAAATAAAAAAAGAAGAAATATATGCTGTGATTGACCAAATTTCTTTTCGAGACTCGATCCCAGCCTCGTTATGAAACTTGCGCCGTCACCGTGAACGTGAGCATGGCGAAATTTCTATCCAGAGTTCACGCCCTTGGATTGCAAGCTTCATTCAACTGGCGGTTCAGCTCGACTATGACAGCTCAGAAATTAAACGCGGACTTGTCACGGGAGTTGGTTGAAAGTGTCGACAACTTCTTGTTTGATTGCGACGGTAGGTGTGGATGCACATTCATGATTACGTTTACAAGCCTGCAATTTCTTCAATGACTTATGTTTGTCTGAGAAGTAAAGCTCTCCTTATTCAGCGCTAAAGGTCAAAAAGTATGTAACTGTCATGTGATTGTCACGTGATTTTGAAAACAAGCAGCCGACATCCTTCGTTCGATTTTGACAGATAAAATTATGTCAATCGGAGTTTATGCGAGGCTTTAAATGTCCGTGTCCAAGGTTGCGAGGCGCTCACAATGTTGGCCCAGGCAACCCTGTTATCATACCCCATTGATCGACTTAAAATGTTTACTGTGTCTTTGTGCAGCGTATAGTTACTTTGATTAGAAATGCTAGCCTACTCATGGAAATTGAAATCTAATGATTCTGACCCTTACGTAGTCACATTTATAAATTCTCAGTAAATATTCATGTACGAAGATTTGGTGGGTAACAACACGAAGCAGATATTAACCCAAATAGGGTAATTTTCTTCCTTGTGAAATGATGCAATCCTAGATTCTAATCTAATTGTCAATTTGTCCAAAACATTTAGAATAAAACTTTTACAGGCATACACAATTAACTTGTGTATTTTATTTGTATTTTTCATATAAAATTGAAAGAGAGGTAGGCATTTTATCATGTGTGGTAGGGCAGGGACACGTGATCGACTTGGGTACTTGGGTCGGTTGGGTTCCTTAATGGGATTGGGTACCCACAGGACTACCCGCAACCGTGGTTACTACCCTGGTAATCGGCCCCTCAATTACCCGACCCTACCCCGGTACCCACTGTAGGTCTCAAGAGATGGGTACAAAATGTTCTGACTGGGAAAAGCTTGACTGTCCCCTGGAAAAATGTATTTAGATACACATATGAAATGATCTGGTCATGTCTACACCAAGGATTATCCTTGAATTTGTTACCCATGAGAGAAAATCCCCCCTGGTCTAAAAGCAAAGAGATTTTTGGGGGTATGATGAGATTTTGCAAATTTTCAGACATTTTGTCTTCCCACAGTGGAAACTGTATTTGATCTTAGGTATTTGGGACTTGAATTATGTTGCAATTAATGTTACTAGATTATATACATGATATAGATACAGTATCCGATATTTTCAGACATTAATTATTCCACTGAATATTTAAACATATTAGCAATTAGTATCAACAAAAAAATGCATTATTTATATTTCTGTTTATTGTCTACTCTAGAAGAAAATACATTAACATTTCTGTATTTCAGCTCATTGTCAACTTTAGGCATGTGTGTTAGGAGGAATTATTTGTGAGAACAATTATAGATAAGACATGTTTACCACCATCAGCTGTTCATTTTGTTGGCATGCGGGGAACAAACAATTTCTAGGGCTCTGATCATGTCTGTTGAGATCGTAATTATATATATTCAAAGCCATGGCATGAAACAGCAACAGTTGTAAATGGTGTTACAGTTTGCTGGCCAAAAATATATAATTTACATTCGTAAATGTATATTAGTTCCCATATATGACCATTTTAGCCACTTGAATTACGAGAAAAACGAAATAAAAAATATATAAAAAATAAAAGTGATTTCGTAAACTAGCGCTTGCTGTAAAATGCGCCGCCTCAGGCTATATTTAATAAATGAATATTCAAAACTCTCAACATCGCTGGGCGTATTCAAAGACATAGCGCTTGCTGTAAAATGCGCCGCCGCAGGCTATATTTAATAAATGAATATTCAAAACTCTCAACATCGCTGGGCGTATTCAAAGACATAGGGTGTAGAGATGATAGATCACTGGGGGGAGCTTATGCACACTCGATGACCCCTGACGTCACAGGGCATTGTTTTCAATAAATATGGACAAATCTGGAAGCAAACATATTTTAGCATATTCTAAAAAATCTCCAACCTGTTGTTTTGCTCCTAGAAATAGTTCAAAATTTGTAATTCATGCACATTGGCCATTCTTGCAAGAGGGCACGTTCATGATGACCAGTGCTGTCTTATCTAAAGTCTAGGCGAATCCCATCTAAAATACGATTATTTATGATCTGAAATTTAGGTTTGGTTTTGTCATTCCAAAATCGAAAATTGCTTGTGTTTTGAAACTTGGCCCGTGATTACATTTTTTCTCTTGATTTTCTGCACAGATGCTCATACATGTACGTCTTCATCTTCCCAAGGCAAGAGACTTAACTGACTTTAAAAAGTCCAGTTTCCACCCCTTGCTGAACTAGGCTGGAATTTCTGGGCTCTATCATAGCGCCACCAGTGGCTATTACGAGTTATGTCCCTTCTAAGCCTCTCCTATGGACCAGTTGGATGCCACCTCTCGTATCACTTGCATTTGCTTCAAACAAAATGGCGCGTCCAGTCATGACGATCTGATAATCAATATCTTTATTGTGATAAAACAGGTCTTTCATCGTGAAGTGCACCAAATCATGTGAGCACCTTGATTAAAAACATGAAAAGATTTGGAAAATATCTGTTGACAACGAGTTGGTGGTGCACATGTGTTATGTGTATGGATGTATGCTTTTATATGTTTGTTAGTATATCAGATGCATTTAGACTTGAATTGAAACAAGAAGGCTTGGGTTTGCGTAATTTTGCTTGAATAGTACACCTGGGGAGCTGGCTGCCTGAGCGGGTTAAGTAATTATGTAATAATTGAAGCTTGTAGCTAATCAGCATTATAGTATAAGGTTGGGGTGATTCAAAAATAGTTATTTTTTTCTGTTTCTTGGGTGTTGGCCAGACCTGTATTTTAACCTCCTCATATTTAATGTTAAAGTTCAGAACACTGTGTGAGAGATTGTATCCCATGTCGGGGCTTGTGAAACTGACACAATTTGACCGAGAAATTGAGTTGTTAAAATTTCAAAGTTTAGAGAAAGAACGAGAACTGGAGTTTGAATTAGAGAAGCAGAGATAAGGTTGGGAGGAGAGAGAGCGTGAGAGACAATTTCAGTTAGACAAGTTAGATTGTGAGAGACGGAATGAGTTAGACAAGATCGGAGCTGCTCATCAGCATGTGGATGTTTCTAAATTCATTAGGTTTGTGCCTCGTTTTTGGGAAAGTGAAATAGATACATATTTTGATCATTTTGAGAAAACGGCAACACATTTGAAATGGCCTATAGAGTGTTGGACTACTTTGTTACAAAGTGTGCTAGTGGGTAAGGCTCATGAGGCTTATGCAGCTTTATCTTTGAGTCATAGTGCAAGTTATGAGTTGGTCAAGGATACTATTTTGAAGACATATGAGTTGGTGCCAGAAGCGTACAGACAAAAGTTCAGGAACTACAAAAAATATGATAACGAAACGTATATTGAGTTTGCCAGGGTCAAAGAGACTGCATTTGATAGATGGTGTACATCTAAAAAGGTTGATAGACAGAATGATAATTTGAAACAGTTTATCCTGGTTGAAGAGTTTAAAAGGTGTAGTTCTACTGAGATTAAAGTGTATTTGGATGAACACAGTGTAAACACTTTGAGTGAAGCAGCTAGATTGGCAGATGAGTATGCACTTACTCATAAGAGTTCATTTTCACGAAATTTTCAATCTAGCGGAGGTCAAGGACGTGGTAGTGCCAAGCATACCTTGGGTCACAATTCTCAGTCATCTAGGTATTATGGTCGTGGCAGTAGTAATTCATCCCAGAGTCAGTCATTCCAGGGCAATTCATCCCAGGGTCAGTCTTATTACTACTCAAATAGTAATGTTGGTTAGGGGCGTGGTCAGTCTAACTACTATTCCAATGGTAATGGTGGTCAGGGTCGTGGTCAACCTTATGGCTATTCTAATGTTAATGGTGATCAGGGTCGTGGTCATCAAGGCAATCGTGGAGGTCAAGGGGCAGATAATCATCCAGGCAATCAACAAGGCAGAACAAACACTTATACAGGGGGTGGTAGAAATCCAACTCAAGATAGAAGTGTCCAGGATAGTGGTTGTGCTGCATTGCTTGAAAAGTCACCAAGCAGTTTTCTTGCAAAAGAAAGCCCTGTTATTGAGTCGAAGTGTGATGTTGAACTAGACAGACAGCATCTTATGATCCTTTCATATCTAAGGGCGAGGTTCATTGAGCAATGGTGAGCAAAATCCAATTACTATTCTTAGAGATACAGGTGCTTTGCAGACACTTACATTGGAAGGCATAGTCCCTCTGTCAGAGAAAACTTACACTGGTCCCAATGTCCTCATGCAAGGTATTGAGTGTGGTGTGATTAACGTTCCTCTTCATAGGGTAGAACTTAAGTCCAAATTTGTATCAGGAACTGTTATTGTTGGAGTTAAAGAAAAACTGCCTGTTTCTGGTGTGGATCTTCTGTTGGGGAATGATTTGGCTGGAGGGGAGGTTAAGGCTCGTGATTCAGTTGGTTGGGTGGACCCAATTGTTTGTGAGGAACCTACCGTTTGTGCAGATGTAGTGGGTAACAATATTTCAGATACAGATCAGAGTTTGGATCATGTGGGTATAGATGATATCGTATTGTATCCTTCATGTGCTGTGATGAGGGCTAGAGCAAGAGCAAAAGCTCAGTCAGAGGAGATCTCAGTCCCAGTTGAGGAAGTTAATGATTTTGAGTCTGAGTATGATTTGTCACATACATTTATGAGTGAGGTGGATGTTGTGAAGGATACTGATGGTAGTAATCCTGTGGGGTTAGCACAAAGTGGAGACAGTTTTGAAGGAGTTTGGTCCAGAGAAGAACTCATTAGGAATCAAAATGCAGATTTAGAGGTACACAAACTGAGGGATAAGGTTTTATCTGAGGTGGAGATTGAAAATGTACCTGTTGGGTATTACTTGGATATGGATGTTCTCATGAGGAAGTGGAGACCGCCGGATAGAGTAGAGTAGAGTAGAGTAGAGTGGATGGGTTTTGGCAGGTTCAAAACCAAATTGTAGTGCCGCGATGTTATCGTCGTGACATTCTCAGTCTAGCTCATGATTCAATGTTAGTAGGTCATTTAGGAGTTACTAAGACATGTCGGA